TTCTTTGCCCTGAACCACCACGCCTACATCTACGCCTGCGAGGCTGGCACATACAGCGTTGACATCCCTTATGCAAACGACGCTGTTTATCTATGGATCGGTGCAAGCGCCTACTCTGGCTGGACAGACGATAATGCAAATGCCAAAGCACGTTACGATCAACCAGATCATATCGCCGGCAAAGCTAGCTATAAATTCGACATTCCGGCTAATACGTATGTGCCCATCCGCTTCTTCTATGGACAGGCGCAGTACGGTGGAGGTTTCAACTTCAACATTACGGCCCCGAGCGGACAAGTCATTGTTAGCAATCAGGCAACGTTTAGTCCGTATGTCGTGCGCTATTCGTGTGATGGAACTACGGCGCCCCCGTTTCCGGCATTTGGAAAGGAGACTTGATTAGCTCTATCACATCTTTAGGGGTAGTAACATGGATTATACTGGACGTATCGTGTTTTTATATAGGTATCTTAAATAAAATGTTATCAAGCATTACTGAGCACATACTTCGCTTTTTATGCCTATGCAATGAATCCACAAATTATCTACAGGCTATGAAACATGTAAATGGGTTTCTTGAGTCATCATACCCATTTGCTCAATACTTATTTTGTATACTAGGTACTTAGTCAACCTGCAGTCAATTTTTAAATTTATATCTTTCTCCAAATACGGTGACGATCACTACTTACCTTGCTGGGCGCCGTGCCGGAGAGGATCTCGGTACATAAAACTTTCCGACGTATATAACAACATAAAAGATCAGCTGGAGCGAGGCTCAAATACCTTGCTAAGCTTTACGCTACATGCCCCTACGTCATTGCTGTACTACGACGTGGACAATAACCCGCGCTTATGCCTATCTAAGAGTATGGTAGACGAGGTTTGCCGACTGATACACGACGGGACGGCACACGTAGGCCCGCACAAGCCCTACGAGATGCTGCGAGATATGGGTTTCTTTTACAACATGAGAAGACACATGGACAGATATATCTCAAACTGCCCAGAATGTTAGAAAGCCAAGCCAATCCGAGGGCGCCCGTACGGCGATACTTTGCTGGCATTCGCCTTGTGTAAGGATTGGTCTAATGGAACTGGGGGAGATAGAGGAGCTGCAACGGCCGTCGATTTGGCATCAAACTAGGCTCTCTTCACAACATTAGTATCTAACCGGTGAATTGTTGAATTGCTACTTACTAAAAGCCTTGCTCCTTTTAAATGTCTGGTCAATTGCGGGAAAGTATGAACAGTCTTCCCATAACAGGGAGCCTCTACAACTCTGCACCGGAACATTCCTCTAAGAGACTGGTCAAAGATTTTGACTTGAGAAATCCCGCTTTTCAGGCGGGCATCATGCAGCACATACTCCTGATCTGATCCATCAATATGTCGGAAGTGAAAGCCAATCGTATCCTCCTCAAAGTCACGATTGAAGTGACATAGCATCCCCACCCTGCAGCTCATTTCAAACTGCTTAAAGGTCGGCCAATAGCTGCATTAGTTAGATGTTGGCAGTATATTGATACATGCCAATTGAGTCTTCTTCTACCCCGTGGCTGTGGCTGTGGCTGTAGCTCTGATGATACATGTCGCGTGGCGGGCGGTGATGGCTGTGATGGCTGGTCCAGCCACACAAAAGCACTACCATTGAAAGCATTCATGTTAGTTTCACGTTGGTATATCAATTCTTTCCTTTCTTTTGACAAGGTAGTAGATGTCCGGCTCCCTGAGCATCTGCTACTATGGCCATTTTCTCTGGTATCTCCTATTATCGCTGTATTTTTCTAGTATCTGCTCCATATTATCGCTGTACTACTTGACATCCATGTAATATCTGCCAGTATAGCTCCGGACTATACGCTCCTCTAGTGTCCGGTAGTTTTCACTAGGCAGCTCCAAGTTTGAGACCCGATCGCTGAATAGCCGCTCCCTATATTAGTCGACGGATAGTAAGAACTCAAGCTTCCTACGTAATATTTCTAATGGATGCATCCTGCCCTGTCAGACGGCACTTGATGCCCTGTCAGATCCAGATCTCGAGTGGGCTTCAGGCACCCATTTGCCCGATACAGCAAACCACGTTGCGGGCGGCGTCTTATTCAGTGGAGCGCACTACGTCGGATCCAGCAACATAAGCCTCTGGCAGGCCTTGGAACCGCCTAGCGCAGCCCTTGGCCAGGCACCCGGTCCCTTAAGTTTCCATCCTTCATCCATCCTCAATCAACAGAAGCATCACGGCATCGGCGCCATCAAAGATTGCATCTCCACAAAGTCTCGGCAGTCATGGATGAGCCTTTTAACCCGGACGACTGGGAGCTCGCAGTTGACCTCCCCGCATCTCCGGGGGGCACCGTCCCCAGTATTGAATTTCCACCAGAACTGCTGAAACCGGATACGTGCGTCGTCAGTCTTGAGCGATGGTGCAGAGCCTGTGGGGAGCCGATGAACAGTGGAGAGTCGTTTGTATCTGGTAAGTTGAACCAACTGTTCTATTCCCCTCTTCAATGCCCGTTGGTGGGGGGTTCCGGCTGATCGGCTGAATGCAGTCTTCCTGGATGATGATGATGGCGACGTCAGAGTCGTTGGCTCTCAAGAATATCCGGCTCGTGAAGACGAAGACGAAGATGATGGGTCTGACATGCGGGCGATCCGTAGACCTTTCTTCAACTGGGACCCCTTTGGTAGGCTTGCTAAGCCCACCAACAACGAGAGTGCCACGCTACACACCGAGTGTTTTAATCTGTTCCGGCGCAACTGCCCAGATGATAAGGTGGCGCCCCGGCTGTTGCTTGCGGGACGCTGGAGAAGCCCATGGGAGGGTGCGCCGAAATTCATATTGACTGTCAAATCTGATGTTACCAGCTTGATACGGCTGGCGGCGATAGCATGCAATTTACCGCAGTTGGAATTGATGCCGATGGAGCTCAAGCGCCTGGTGTTTGAAGAGTTGATCACCCAGCCGTGCGCTCTTACTCGCTATTATTCTGTTGTATCGCTAGCTACTGATTCGTGCCGACAGTCTTTGGATGAGCACTTCACAATGCCCATTGCCAAGGTTGCTCATTGGGAGCGAGGCCAAGGCCCGCCGAGTGCAGAGGAAGTTCTTCCGCCTGTCATTCGAATCATCATTGACTCTCAGGGAATCAGCCGTATCGAGAGGCTTGCAAAAAGGCCCGAAGCGCTTTCACAGCCATCGGATACTGAATTGTATATTGTGGAGAGTCAAGAAACGCTAAAGCACGTTCAGGTGCGATTTCAGGTAACTCACTAATAACCGCCCCAGATCAACTATGCTGGTTACCCATCGGCTAACGACCATACGATATAGTCAGGATTAGCGCGCCTAAGACACTGGGGAGATGGAAAAGCATTATCTCTTCTTCCCTGGGATACACCCTCACCTCCGGTGGTAGAACATTTGCTAAGCCCAACAGCCGGGCGGCCCAGCCATGCCAGGGTAATGCAATTCGCAACCATTGACGGGTCAAAGATATCAGGAATTACATTTTTCTTCACCTGGGCAAATCATTATGCTTCACCTAGGCCAGCTGGGCCCCAGTTCTTCATGCATGCACACACCTCCAAAGAACCCTCTGCTAGATCAACATTCGATAAGCTCCTCTACCCACACGATTGGGCCGGGGTTTGGAACTATGTGCCATTCCCACATAACGACCGATTGATTTGTTTTGGGATTGAACACGAATCTGATACGAATCTCAAGGTCTTGGTACGAATCTATGCTTCCATTAGTGTCTTATTGTCTGGTCTAACTTGTTGCAGTTTCGATTCGAGAAAGCCGGCGATGTTATGGTTGGCATCCAGTATGACCGATATCCCAACCGCACCCAGACGGTGTGGGCCGCAAGCAGCAAACTGCAGCTTATCTGCGGTCTATCGGAGTCCGGCAGCGTCATCACACTAGACGCAGAAGCTGATAGGAGCACAACACTAGACCGGCCTTTCAGACTGCCCTTTAGGCAGACCGTGGTGCCGTATAGTCACGGAGGATGCTTGTCGTGGGCACCGCTGGAGCACGTCGCACGTCTACGGCTCTTTACAGACGAAGATGCTGGCATCTGCCGGGGGCTTTTGCTAGAATATGAAGACGGCGGACAAAGAGCTGTTGGAGAGTGCCGAGTTGGCCTTGATGTAGAACGGACCTATGAGAGGCCCGTGGGCCTTTGCATTGGGCGGAAGTCGGGCTTTTCCCGCTGGAGCATTAGAGTCAGAGTTGATGGGCAGGCGGAGCACATGCACTCGGAAAGGAATTGGCAATGTTACCCAATGCGCGGCACTCTTGTTTCTTGGCAGAAGCGGGGGTTTTCTACGCTCAAAGTAGATGTTGATGATGATGCTGGTGTTGGTGGTGGTGGTGGTGGCGCTGCTGCTGCTGCTGCTGCTGCTGACGATGGTGTTGATGATGATGATGTGCCATTTTAGAAGCATTTGCTTGGTTTTGTACATGAATGGCATAGGATTGGAAACTGCCATGATTTTGGATTATAGATGGATATTGGCAACAGGATAAATTGACATTTCTTTGATGGACAAGGCATTGCTCGATCGCTGCTAATTCGAATAGTAGATGCTAGGTACTAGTTTGCAAGCAAAACAGACTTACACGGCAACTCATAAATTCAGGACTATGTACCTGATGTATGTACACTCAAGTTGTTTGAGTCACAGTTCTCAACAGTTTGGTCGACATCGAATTGTCTCAACTCTGCACTTACATGCCTACCACCACAGCATTCGCAACATAAATAGGCCACTCCAGCCGAGTGTAAATAACCAGGATAACGTACAAATTCTGTATCCCGCAGCCCTTCCTACAACAATAAGTGAACTTGGATATGTCAAGGCTTCCAAACTCTGTACTTGGTACGTCCCCAAGTACCTGCCTCTTGTGCTGCCAAATTCTCAACTCCAACAATTGTCAACCCTGTATGTAAGAACATAGCACCACGCACTTCAACAACAAAACAACAGAAATAGGCACTTTGGCCGAGTGGTCTAAGGCGCCGTGTTCAGGATTTATCTTGCTTCGCGGTCTAGTAATAGGCGAGGGTTCGAATCCCTCAGGTGTCATTCTTTTTGCCCATTTCTCTTAGTGTCCAGCCCCTTTTACCGAACAGAGTACAAGTTGCGAGCAGATTTTTTCTTCTTGTTTTTTGGCGTCGATTGTTTTTTTCTTCCTTGTAATTGAAATTCTTGCGCCCACTCTTTGCTTACATTCCCCTGTTTGGTGGGGGTTCATGGGGAGTTGGAAATTGCGAGTAGCTGTTTGGGTGCCTGTCACACTGTCTCCTTTTTTGCTATCCTCTGAAATGTTCTTTTTTGCACGTTATCAACAACCAATTGAGTCACATTGCAGTATGACACTATCATAGATAGAGGCAAAAACCAAAATGGCACGAAAGGGGCGATTTCCCACATCTTCCCACAAGAACCCCCAAAATATTATCCACATCCAAAATACGGAGTGAGCACGGAGTACGGAGTACTCGTACGGAGTAACGAAAAAAAAGCAATTCCCACAAAAAATGACCGCTACCGTAGAAAGTACCAAAGTACCTCGCTATATCCGACAGCGCGGCCGGGCGGTGCCGTCTTGGCCACGTTCCCATCGGCACCTCGCCGGCAATTCGTCTCCTTGGCTTACGCACAAAGTCGAGAAATTGTCCGAAAATCCGCGCCAAAAAATCGTTTTTTTCATGGCGCTACGGAGATAAAAATGGGTATAATACCTTAGCACGCTCCGGTATTTCGATCTACAACTTGTGAAAACACACAAGGCACAATTCTAGCCTTTTCTTCATTTTCTCAAGAGGAAAAGGGCAACTATAATACTCCGTAATCGGCTGTCTACCAATGGTCAAATGAATCATCTTCTCAAGAAAAAAAGAGTCCAGAATCGTTCGTCTGATGATTCAAGTGGATCTCCAGCCCGTGAAAGTGGCGTGGCGCTATTTTATACGACAACGTTAACAAGAAGAGAAAAATTATGCATGGAAGAATTCGAGAAAGGCTAGCACACTGGCGCCGAGCTAGGAGAAACCCATCAGCTAATAGGTTTCCACCTCAAACAGGAGCAAGAGTCAGGTCATCACAGCTCTCTCTCTTATCAGTGGGTATGAACAATGCTTGTAAACATGCTGTGAATATTGATATTTTTCTTTGTAAAAAGTCATTATAATACATTAAACGCGTGGTATCTACATCCGCTCCATTACTGTACACTATACACAAAACTGCCCCTCTCCGCAATTAGTTAGCCTCAGCCTCAAGCTCAACCTCCTTGGTGGGAGGAAGGACGGGCGCCTCGCGGTCGAGCTCGAATGACTCGTCCTCAATCTTGTCGTAGTGGTTGAACAAGAAGAAGAAGACAAAGGCAGTGACGATACTGGCTCCGGCAACACCAGTATACATCCAGATGAACTCGGGGTCCTTGGACACGGACACCAGGGCCTCGGAGATGGCAGAGCCAAAGGCGTTGGTGAAGAGGTACAAACTCTGGACAAACGACTTCATGCTGGGGGGAGCCTTGGTGTAGGCGTACTCGAGACCGGTGACGGAAATGAAGATTTCGGCCAGACCGACAAAGACGTAGGCAGGAGCCTGGACGGCAATGTGCACGTTGTTGGGGAGAGTCTTGCCATCGACGTTGGCGGCGTCACACTCAAGGGGGCTCTTGTAGCAAGGGCCGGCGTTGTAGATGAGGTGCTGGACAATGGCAGCATAGCCAAGGCACATGGAGATCCAGACGAAACCAAGGGTTATTCTGGCAATGGGTCGGATCTTAATGCCGGCCTTGCGCAGGGCGGGGTACACGAGCATCTCGAGGAGAGGGGTGAAGATGAGAATCGAGATGGAGTCAAAGTTCTGCATAAAGTCGTTGGGCATGCCGTGGCCGTTCATCTGGCCAGCCTGGGTAACAAAGTTTGTGGAGAATTGACCATAGCCAACCCAGAAGATGGGGTAAAAGACAAAGACCTTGCAGGCACGGATGGCACGCTTCAGCTCCTCGACGAAGTGGTCGTTCCAGACAACAGGCTTAGTCTTGCCGTGGGCAGCGCGCCATGAAGGCTTGGCGGCATCCATGTTGCGGCTGGCAATCATCATGCCGAGGGCCTTGAAGGCATCGGTGATGATGGAACCCTGCGGGGGGTGGATGATGTATGACTTGCGGCGGATGACGAGGATGAAGATGCCGACGTTGAACATGAGGAAGCACATGAGGAAGGCAGTCCAGAAGCCGCAGTACTTTTCCATGAAGGGGGTGGCGATGAGGGACAGGGAACCCAGGTTGATGCACCAGTAGAAAATCATGTAGATGCGCTGGTAGGTAATGGCAGGGTCAATGATGATTCGCTCGCCAGACTTTTCCGTTCGGATAGCCATGGTTCGGCGCTGGTACTGGTCGGCAATCAGGGGGGCGATGTTGGACTTGATACCGCCGGTACCGAAACCAATAATGATAATAGCAACAATGTATCCAGGCAGACCGGCATTGGCAGCATGAGCCGCAGGTAGAGATGTCGTCCACAGGATGACGAGACCGACCCAGTAGACACCGCAGAAGAGCATGATGGCCTTGTACTTGCCCAAGTACTGATCAGAGATGATGGCACCGAGAATAGGAGTCACTGAACAAGAAAAAATCATGAGTTAGCAAACGATCCTCCTCGATGTAGCTGATGGAAGCTCATCGTTTGACATACCATAGCAGAACCATTGGAAGAACAAGTTCAGACCAGTGGCGGCCTGGCCACCCATACCCAGTCCAGGAGCATCGGTGGTGTCGTTCTTGTCGTTGCTAATGTAGTTTTGGAAAAGACCCGAGGCACCGTAGTAGGTGAAACGCTCCATAAGCTCGACAATGGCGATGAGGAAGGCAGAGGCAGGCAGGTTCTCGCCAACACGGCGCAGCGTCCGCTTCTCAAAGTCGTTGGGCTCCTCGCCATCGGCGGTGTTGCCCTCCTCGGCACTCTCCGGTGAGGAGCTAAAGTCCTTCTTCTCATCAGGGTCGGAAGCAATGAAGCCTCCGGCGAGATCGCGAGTCTCACCGTGGGGAACACGCTCGTTGAACTCCTCGTGGAGCCTGTCATGGCAAAATATGTAAGTATAAGGCTAGACTGTGAGAAGCAGGAGAAGAAGACGAGGAAAGAATCTTCAGTCCCTCCATGGAGACGTACTCAGCAACGGTATCCTCGTGATTGTTGGCCATGATTGCAATCTGACTATTCGTCTACACCTCTACTGTTCCAAACCCAAGGCAGGCCCTTTCAAGAAACGACAAGACCAGCCAGGAAGTGAGCAAGGGAAGAACAAGAGGAGAAGGAGACGAGTAAACCGCGCAGACGAGGGTGGGATGCCACGATTTAAAGGATTTCGGGGCACTCCAGTTTCCAACAGTCCACTCTCTCCAGTCTCCAGTCTTCAGATACAACGTTGTCCGCCACCCAGCTTTCGCAGTCTCAGGACGGGGACGAGAGATAGACAGAGCTGCCCCCCAACTTCTTTTGGCCCTAGCCAGGCCGCGGTCGTCTCGCTTCGTGCTTCTTCCCCACGGGCCAGTCCATGTAGTTTTTAGTTTCCCAGCAAGCCTGTACACCCACGCGGCGAGGGCGCTGACTTTGGCAGTTATCCGAGACCGTCAATCGTCATAGGAAGAGACAGAGGCTGTGATTCGTGTAACTGAGATGCGGTCCCTCGCCATCAGCCCCATTGAACGGCAAAGACCTGGTTGAGCTAGGCCACAAGCAGCCGGCTGGTGGTCAGGGGCCTCCCTTGCTCCGTTTGTCTTTTTGCCCTTTTCCTTGTCTGTGGTTGATTCTCTCTCAGATCGAGGTCCACAGCCTAAAGGCCCGAAACGAGCAGGAGGGCCACGCGAGTTGCCCGCCAAGAAAAAAAGCCATGCCTGGCAACTCCGTGGCCGCCGCTGCTTCCAAGCCACCGGCATGTGGCGTGCCGATTAGTTAGAAGTTAGGAGCATTTGCGGGTCGGGTTCATCGTCGCTGCTTGTTGGACTGGAAATTGGCCGGAGATGCAGTTTGGACGGTTCGTTGTGTGTTCTAGCAGTCTAAGGATAGCGGCTTGTAGGGCCTGATGCACCGAGGCAAAGGCTTGCAGATAGTGGCCCAGGGCATTTGCCTAGCGCCTCCGCCAGGGGCCACTTGCCTGGGGCGAATCAGCGCGCGGAGGGGCGACCGAGATGCGCGTTTTTGGAAGAGCGCAGCCACTGGCCTGGGAAGGTGCCGGCAAGGGAAGAAAAGAACCGAACCTTGAAGCATGCACAAAACTCAATCCCCAATAAGCGTAACCGCGATGCCGAGTTCGCAGCAGCAGGTTTTTTCTTTTTTTCCCCGGCCGTGGCATGATTCGTGGACCTTTGACGACTCTCCAGGGCTCTCACGTGTCAGCCTGGAGCTTGTCATTACCATAGACGGGAGGTGGGAAGTTGATGTCGCACGACCAGCGACTCGAATGGACTTGAATGGACTGGTACTTGTGTGTCGACAGGTTGCATTCGACTCGGGGCCGGCAAATGGTACAGTAGGTCAGGTCAGGGGACGGGAGTATTTTACGAGTACCGTCGGGCTAGCACCAGCACTGCCGGTACGAGCCATGCGCTCAAACTGCGCTACAGAAGGCGTCTGGCGCTACTGTACGGAAGCATGTGCGAGTACATTCGAGTACAGCAGGAACAATTTGGATCAATCCATGGAAGACGGAATCGGAAAAAGCATTTGATCTAATTGCACTACACTAGGCCATTCATAGCCGCTTCAGCACCTTTGTCGGGCAAGGAAGCCGAAGGGCGATTAACCTGATCAGTTCAGGCCATGCAAATCGTCATCAGCAATGTCCTGATTACGAGAACTGCGGGCATAAACGGCTCGAAATGAGGCTCAAGATGAGACACCCGACGCCTACTGCATTGTAATGTCCGGGCCTCAGCTCAGCTCAGGCGGCAAGGTACGAGTACTGATTGAGGCGCCATGCTATGCGCTTTGACGCGCAGACCGCCAGAGCCTCGAGTCATTCATTGGCGATGCCTCGGGCGGCGATGTGCCGACCATGTAAGC